GCGATTAGATGTCATTACACATGGAGCACTGTCATAGTGATGTCTATATTAAAATCACTGAAATTTTAGCATTGTAAGTTGGCTTATATTTATCAAATTAAAAAAATCTTACTGTTATTGTTTTAGTTTAAAAATATGCAGGTTGGATAGTCTCTTTTTACTGTCCTGGGAATTAGTTTAATCCTCAGGACATCAAGCAAGCTGAGGTCTGAAGAGTTACGGAGAAGCAGGTGCGGATTTGTGACAAGCACATTCTCTGCTCTCTGAGCCCAAAGGCCTCCAGGGAGAAACAGAAAGAATGGCCTGAGCTCAGGGGACCTCAACAAGCACGTCTCCCAACAGTCAGTGTGAAAGACACAAACAGTCAAGGCAGAACAGACGTTGACAACTAGGACTGCTGAGAAAACACTTGGAGATTTAAGCATCAACAGATCATTAAGAAGCTTTATGAGAAGCTTTAGTGAAGAAGTGAGGGCAGAAGCCAACACCCATAGTGATAAACAGAAAACAAGTGGAAAGAATATGAATCCAATGAGTGTCCATGGCATTTGTCCGCCTGCATGTTGAGTGACTTTGGGGTATCTCTTCACCTACTTAACATTTTTTTATTTATGAAACTGGGACAATAACACCTACCTTATGGATTTTTTTTCCCCATAGAGGTTTTTGCTATAGGGCATGTGCGCTCGCCAGAAAGCCAGAGAGACAGAAAGCAAGAAATCACCCCCCAGGGGGGATGGCCACACCGCAATCCCTTCTCCATTCTCCTCTCGGAATCTTGGGCACGCAGGCACATACACACGGCATGAATCCAAGCCACCGGGTCCGGGACTCAAACCGCGTTCGACTACATGGGAGTCCAGCGACATAGCCATTACACTAACTGCTGGTCCCTACCTTATGGATTTTTTGCAAGGATTAAAAAACATCCTTCCTTCTTTCTTTCCCTTTTCTTTCTTTCTTCCTTCTCTTGCCTTTTTTCTTTTCTTTCTTCTTTTCTCTTACACAGAAAAATGGACATAGCCATTTTTTCTTTGAGAGTGGTGGTGGGTTTAAATTATATCATTAGGAGAATTCATCTTTGTTTCCTTCCGCTCATAACTGCTGGGGAAGAGGTTATCGCAGATTGAGCCTATTAATGGGCATTTGAGTCACCACCTTTACTTTGTACTTTAAAACAAGAGATGGTTGGGGGCAGCACATGGTGTGGTGGTGGGCTCCCAAATGGCCAACCGCAGCTCAAGTCCTGGACTTGGCAGCTTGAAACTCATGCCAGGCACGTGTGAGTGTGCATGTCCAAAATCCCAAAAGGAAAATGGAAGAGAAGGGACTGCGGTATGGCCTTCCCTCCAGAGGGTGATTTCTCACTTTCTCTGTCACTCTCTGTCTCTCTGGTGAGCACATGCGCCTTATAGCAAATAATCTCCCCCCAAAAAAAGAAAGATAAAAGTTAAAAATAGATGGTTAAAAAGAACTGAATTGCTCCATTTGATGAAATTCGAATTCTGAGATTCTATTAACTGGTGAAGTAAGAATTGAGAGTTGAGGAGCATCATGAAAGTGCTTGGGAGTAAGCAAAGACAAGGAAAGGGAGAGCCTGAGAAACATGGCTCCTGAGGGTTGTTGGGTCTCCTGTGTGTGATGCTGGCAATAAAGATGGCCAAGAGATCTTCCCGTCATTAAGAATAGATGTAAAGTGGGAGCCAGCAGGTGGCATGGTAGTTAAGATGCTAGACACTCCCATATGGCTGACCATGGTTCAAGTCCCAGATCTGGTGGCTTGCTTTCTCACTCCCCCCACCTACCATCCCTCTCTCTCTCTCTGGTCAAATTAAAATTTGAAAAATGAATGAATAAAATTAAATAAGTAATCCTTTTAAAAAAAGAATAGATGCATTTGAGAATATTATTGCTTTACAGTATTGTTACAGTCCTTATATCAATTGTTGCTATAAACTGCTCACTACCCACAGCCTCCAGAAAGGTTCTGTCATGTGATTGCATGGGCAATAGCATTCAGGAGAGAGAACTTCTAAATTTGGGTCATTAGGGCAGAACAGGGACCAGGTTTAGTAGTCAAGTATAAGTAAGATTGAGAACTTAATAACTGCAGAAAACTAGAGCAAGAAGTATTGAAAATGCAGCCGGAACTTGGAAGTATAGCCAGAGATCCCAGGGACCAGGCAGTCTTTGACCCGTGTGCACTCTCAGGCTTGCTCCAGATCTCATTTGCCCTTTCACCTTTGCTTGTCCAAGATAGAAAAAGCAATGTGAAAAACCAAGGTCCCTGTACTCTGCTTCAGCTCTGGAGCTGTGATACGCAGTCCCTGAGAAGTTGAATATGAACTAGTTTCAGAGGGGAAGAAAGAAGGGTGGGGTGGACAGAGGAACTGTCAGATGGAGCATTCGTTTGCTAGAGCTGGCATAACAAAGTACCATAGATTGTGCGGCTTAAACCACATTCATTTCCCCGTATGTCTGGAGGCCACAAGCCCAAGATCATGATGTGGGCAGGTACGGTTTCTCCTGAGGGCTCTGTCCTTGGATGAACGTCTTTTTCCTCTGTGTGTGTCTGTGTCCTAATCTCTGGTTCATACGAAACAGCAGTCAGATTAGTTTCGGGTTTATATTGTAGGGATCGCAGCTAGATCCCCTGGTGCCAAGAGAAGAGGTTTTCTCATCGAGATGCTTGGTCAAGATCCTAATTTCCACTCTGGGCAATAAACTGACGTGGGCATAATTATCCCTAAGTGCACCTTCAAAGGCCACAATGAGCATGTGTAATGGGGTAATCATATTCCTTACCTGAGGGAGAAGTACACAGGCCCCCACAAATTCAAACAAAGGGACCCAGCTGCAATGACAGACACCCTCTCCTAAATATTCATGACAAGACCTCATAATAAAAGCAACACCTAACCCCATTCCCAGTACAGTTGTCCTTCTCTGGCAGCTGCCCACTCACATGGCTTTCTGGCATGGGGATGTATTTCTTTTCTGTTAAAAATCATCACTTTCAGGGCCAGCAGGTGGCACAGTGGTTAAGGCACTGGATTCCCATATAGCCAACCCCAGTTCAAGTCCTGGACCCAGTGGCTTGAAACTCACATTGGGTGAGTGTGCATGTGTGCCCAAAATCCCAAGAGAATGGAGGAGAAGAGATTGTGGCATGGCCATCTTCCCTGGGGGGGAGGTGACTTTTAACTTTCTGTCTAGAGAGCTTTCTTTCTGGTGAGCACACACACCCTATAGCAAAAATCTCTCTCAAAAAAAAAAAAAAATCTCCACTTTCCTATTAAAAACCACTATTTTCCTACTTTACAAGTGTTTGTGGTTTTTCATTCTCCCTCTTAGGGCAGGTCTCTAACCTTAGAGATCTGGACCCAAAGAACCAAGTATTTCATACAACCCAGCTTAGTTCCCCTCCAATAACATTTACCCATATGACCTTGCTTTCACTTAATTACCTCTGAAAGACCTAGTTCCAATCACAGTAACATTCCAAGGTATGAGAGCTCAGGACTCCGGCAGATGAATTGTGAGGGGACACAGTCTAGCCCACAGCAGATGGGAACCTCCTCAATATCACAACAAGAAATTTCTGTTTTACTCATTCATTTTCTCTCTCTTGCCTCCTCTGGACAAAGAAAGAGTCTCACCGTCTACTGGAGGATGACTCTTCCACGTGCACTCTGAATTTCATCCTCCCGTGCCCTGTCATGCTCTCTCTTCATCAGTCACGCTCTGTTTTCTGCACCGTCAGTGTTTATTACCAGCTTTCTGCCAATCAAATGTCTGAAAACCGACTGCATACTGAAAAAAAAAAAAAAAAACAACTTTCCCTTGATCTCACATTTCTTACTGCATTCTGCCATTTATCAGATTGGAAAAAATTAAACAGTGGTAACTCCTTGTGCTGGTGAGGTTGCAGAGAAAATGGCATTCTGATGCCATTGCTACAGCCTTTCGGAAAGCAAGTTTACAAAATCTATTCATATAAAATATATGCATACCACATGCATACCATCTTATTCAGAAATCTCGTTTCTGGAAATCTATGCTATAAATATAGAAGCATTTTATAAAAGGATGTCTAAATGAAGGCAGTCACTACAGAACTCATCACACTTGAGTAACAATATAAAGGTCCATTAAAGGAGAATCCTAAAAGTTACTGAAACAAGTAATTTAGATCTTTACCAATGAATCCAAATATCCCTATCAGGTAGTTGTTTCCTATCATGTATCATTAAAAGCAAATTCCAAGAAAAAAAATTAGAACATGATCTAATTTTTGTGAAATTCCTGATATCACTTATAAGTCATTTTAAAACAGGAAGGAGGGCGGCAAGGAGCCATACTAGATACTGAAAGCCGTCAGCTCGCTTGCAGGTGGGAATTGGGGTAGAAAACGAAAGGGAGCAAATGATTACATCAGCGATTTTCTAAGGGGGCAAAGACAGAAAGCCACATTAGAGTGAATGCTCTGTCCCCTGAACTCTTGAGCCTCAACAAGGGGCCTTCCCTGGACCACAGAGATGATCCCTGGCCCCCAAGCAGGCAGAGCCGTAGATGAGCAGAAGGCAGGTGAAGATGCACAGCCACACCAGGCCCTGCCAGAGGAACAGAGGAACGGGGATTGGCACTCACAGCCCTTTCAGAAGATGTTCGGACCGCGCTACTGGGTAGGAAAAGGGAGCAGAGGGGGAACCGAGAGGCCTGGGAACTAACTGATGGATTCCCCCTGTCCTCCCTTCCTGCACCCAAGCTTGGCCCCTCTTGCTCAAAGCCCTTTCCCAACCCCGCGCTGGAAGGAGCCGCCCTTCCCCATCGCCACTTCACAGGTTCGGGCCTGTCTGGGGTGGGGACCAGGACAGCCCTGGATCCTGCAGGGGGCGGACACGCGGAGCCCTGCTTTATTAAGCCCGGGGATGGTCCTGCAGGCTCCGCTACAAGAGCAGGCCCCTAGGCATTCCCGGAGACTCATTACCGATCCGCTACTGTTGCAGCGAGCAAGCCAGGGCGCCATGGTCCGCTACCGCATCCGCGTGGCCACCGGGGCCTGGCTCTTCTCTGGGTCGCTCAACCGCGTGCAGCTGTGGCTGGTCGGGGAGCGCGGGGAGGCGGAGCTGGAGCTGCAGCTGCTGCCAGCGCGGGGCGAGGTCAGCGGATGGGAGCTGGGACACTCGGTTCAGGGCTGACAGGGTGAACCGTAGGAAGCGGGGAAGGGCAGGAGATGGGGAGCGAGGTGACAGCCCTGTGTGGGTTGTGACTCCCAGAGAGCGGGGACTCCGAGGGCGGTGGGTTTGGTAGGAAGGGTCTGGAGCCTGGAAGGGGAGCTAAGATTCAACCCGTTTCTCCTGACCCTGGCCCTCGCTGCCTCCACCTCCTTCTCCAATGACCCAGTCAGTGTAGACAAAGCGCCAGTGAGTGGTCCAACGTGAAGTTCCCCTGAGAGCACTGGAGCGGTGGGAGCGCGGTCAACAGGCCCCACGTGGGCGATGGTAATCACCAAGTCACCGCTGGAGGCTCACTGCTGTCGCTCGGGCTCTTGGCGCAGTGAGGCAGCGCAGTGGGGCATGGGAGACCCACGGGGCAGGCTGTGGGTTGTGAGAGGACAAAAGGAGGCGATGCCTTCATTGGAGGCGGTGGTAAACTGGGACAACACAAAGCACACTGCCCCTCTTCGTCCCACCTGGTCCCTGACCCTACTCCCTAAAGCCCAGCCAAACGCTAAGTCCAGCCGCGTCTGGCCCCACAGGTGGAGGAGTTTGATCACGACGTCCCCGAGGACTTGGGGCCACTGCAGTTCGTCAAGTTGCGCAAACACCGCTGGCTGCTGGACGACGCGTGGTTCTGCGACCGCATCACCGTGCAGGGCCCGGGCGCCTGCGCGGAGGCGGCCTTCCCGTGCTACCGCTGGGTGCAGGGCGAGGATGTCCTGAGCCTGCCAGAAGGCACCGGTGAGGGCGCAGCGTCGGGGAAGCGGGGGCAAGGCTCCTCCGGAACCACTGCGAGCATGAGGGCCGGGTGGGGCGGGTTAGGGCTGAGGACGGCTAGAGAGAAATTAAAAGATGAGCACTCTGTAGGTTTAAGTGTAGGCACCCGGAGTTGCAAGAAAAAGGAAAATTAAGAAATAAAAAGTCTAGAAGTAAAACAAAGAGGCTGCCAACGAGGCAGGAGCAGGGAGTAAGGGATCCAAAGACCCCACTTTCCAAGAAAGTGAGGACCGGGATGGGAGTTGCTGTGAAGATGGAAAACAGGAGATCCAAAGCACAAGTAGAAAAGAGATCTCTGTGTGACTCCCAAACCAGGGCAGGTGCAGGGGAGGAGAAGCCTGGACTAGGAGGGTGGTGGTCTCTCAGAGGAGACAGCTAAGGGAAACAAACCATAATACCTTGGGGAGCTTGTTTGGTTGGAAAAACATGGAAGGGGCTGGCAAGGAGTGTGGACGAATTCCAGCAGCAAATACAGGATTTGTTATCGTAGGTAATTAGAGACAGAACGAGGGCAACACCAGGTAAGAATGAAAAGGAGGGGCCAGCAGGTGGCATGGTGGTTAAGGGTGCTGGACTCCCATATGGCTGACCACGGTTCAAGTCCCAGACCTGGTGGCTTGCTTTCTTACTTTCTTGCTCTCTCTTGTTCTGTCCCTCCCTGCTCAAATTAAAATAAATAAATGAATGAAGTTAAATAAAATAATTCTTAAAAAAAAATAAGGAAATGGATGCCTTTGCGGGACAGGTGATTGTAAATACAGGTGAGGAACAGATCAGGTTAACAAATATAATTGACATGATACTGAGGCCAGGTAAATTGGAGCCAGGTAAAGTAGCAACGAGGAGCCATTATCTTCCCAGGACGGATGAAATGGCACAGTTGAGGGTGGCATGCACAGAATGTTTTATCTTAGGGAACCGATGTGGGTCTGGAGTTAGGGAAGCTCGGGAGATATCTAGTGACTCCAACATGAAATATGGCATTTGGAGGACAGGTGAGACTGACAAAAGTAATATGTGATAATGTGGGATAGGGATGGACAAGGCAAGTGATAAAGAAGAAAATCCATAGGGCACCAGCAGTTAGCGTAATGGCTATGTCGCTGGACTCCCACGTAGTCGACCGCGGTTCGCGTCCCGGACCCGGTGGCTTAAACTCACGCCAGGCGCATGTGCATGTGTGCCCAAGATCTCAAGAGGAGAATGGAGGAGAAGGGATTGCAGCGTGGCCATTTCCCCTGGGGGGGGGGGTGATTTCTCGCTTTCTATCTCTCTGTCTCTCTCTATCCGGTGAGCCTGTGCGCCCTATAGCAAAAAAAAAAAACCTCAAGAAAATCCATAGATAATGATGAATAGGAACAAATAGGGAACGTTGACTTAAGGGTGAACAAAGAGTGGACAGTTATGAGAGCTGACGGGACCAGCAGATGGTGTAATGGTTACATCACCGGACTCCCATGTAGTCGACCCTGGTTCAAGTCATGAACCTGATGGCTTAAAACACAGGCGCGTGTGCGTGTGTACCCAAAATCCCTGAGAGAGAAGAATAGAGGAGAAGGAATTGTGGTGTGGCCATCCCACCGGGGGGGTGATTTCTCACTTTTTATCTCTGCCTTTTTCTGTCTCTCCAGTTAGCACACATGTCCTATAGCAAAAATCTCTCTTAAAAATTATATATATATAATTTTTTACATAAATATGTACATATATATATATATATATAGAGAGAGAGAGAGAGAGAGAGAAAGGCTGAGGTAGATGAAATCAAGAAAAGGGGGTGGGCAAAGATGAACTAAATGACCAGGGAATTAATCAAGAGAGATAAAGACAAGGCGAAAGGAAGAAAAGAGTATGATGCAGTACAATTAAGAAATGGGAGACTGGAACAAGCCAGGGAGTAGCATGACACGGAATATAGCACAGTCAACTCCCCTCATGTTTTCACAGCCCGCCTGGCAGAAAACAATGCCTTGGACGTGTTCCAGCAGCATCGAGAGAAGGAGCTGGAGGAAAGAAAACAGATCTACTGGTGACTACTCACCCATGTCCCATCAGTGCCCTGACCCTGTTCCCATTACTGATCTCAACACCTTCCCTGAACTTTCACCCCTAACTTCTAGCTGGGCCACCTGGAAGGAAGGGTTACCCCTGACAATAGCTGCAAACTGTAAGGAAGACCTACCCCCAAATATGAGATTCCATGAAGAGAAGAAAATGGACTTTGAAAGGGCAATGAAAGCAGGGTAAGTCCATGTTGACAGTGGAGTAGGGGCTGATGGGGCCAGAGGCAGGTAGGCTTCAGTGAATTGATGGTTTTATCCTCAATACCTGTCCTAGGGCTCTGGAGATCGCCCTCAAACACGTTTACACCTTCATGAGATCCTGGAACCACCTGGAGGATTTCGATCAGCTCTTTGGGGGCCCAAAGAGTTCCCTATCTGGTCAGTGATTTCCCCAGACTCTAAAATCCATAACTCCATAATCACTGTAACTTCTTGCCAAATGAGAACATGTTATACCTAGTGATCTTACAGAGGCCTTGAAAATTAAAAGGAACTGGAAACAGTCATATGCCTAAATCCCTGGACTAGAATCTGGAAGAGAAGGACATCCAGGTAAATATCTCCCTTCCATATCTCCAACCTCACAGAGAAGGTTCACCAGTGCTGGCAGGACGATGAGTTTTTTGGCTACCAATTCCTCAATGGTGCCAACCCCATGCTGTTGAGACGCTCCACCTCTCTGCCCTCCAGGCTAGTGCTGCCTTCAGGAATGGAGGAGCTTCAGGCTCAGTTGGAGAAAGAACTTCAGGTACTTCACTCTCCTATTTGCTTGTTTTTTCCTTGGCAGTGTGACAGAAGAAGTGCTGAAGGGAAGAGACCAAAGATGAGTACATGGGAAGGAATTTTTCCTTCATCTGATGGAAAAATCTACAGATTATACAGTATGTAGGGTTTTTTTTAAATTATGAAGCTGGTGGCAGTCAAATAAGGAAGTAGGCCATTAGGAGATGTTCAGAAATGGGACTGGGACATCTTGACAAGGAAAGACTTAGCATACCAGCGGTACACAACAGATTAGCAAGCCTTATCCTAGAATGACCTCTGTCACGAACAAGCTACATATCCCTGAAGAAACCTCCCGTCACTAGTTAGATCTTCTCACTGTAAAATAAGAGGACTCGGACCTGTTGTTCTGGATTCTTCCTTCAATTTTGTCACTCAGACTCTATTATTGATATAAGATAATGGCAAGATGGTAGACTGCATATATTTCTTTTCCTTTGCCCTGGACCTCTGGGGATAGATTTAGAACTCTAGTCATGGCAACATTCCTCCTTTCCCCAGAACACCTCTGGGGATAGAGTTCGAACTGTAGTCATGGCAACATTCCTCCTTTCCCCAGAATGGTTCTCTGTTTGAGGCTGACTTTATCCTGCTGGATGGAATTCCAGCCAATGTGATCCGAGAAGAGAAGCAGTACCTAGCTGCTCCCCTTGTCATGCTGAAGATGGAACCCAATGGGAAGCTACTTCCCATGGTCATTCAAGTAAGTACCCTGGGAATACCCCTCCCAACACTTTTGTGTTCACATCACCCTCCACGCAAGAACAGGAATGGCCTGACTCTTGTCCCTTACCTCCACTTCACTCAGTGAGTCCTGTCTTTGTCTCAGATCACTCCATGTTCACTTGTAGTCCTGCCAATCCTCACTGGGACTACCTGTCTGAGAACTATAATGGCCTCTTTTGGTTCTCATCTTGAGGGTACTCAACCTCTTTGTAATCTTTGAATTCTTTTAAACCCTTTCTTTACTAAGTTGCTTTTCTTCCTTGGGTTTAGTGATTTTTCACTCTTACTATTTGCACAAATTGTCAATTTCTCATTTTCATTTTCTCCTTCCTCTACCACCCTGACACAGACCCTCATTACATTTCTCCCAAACCACTGTGAGGGCCTCTTTAGTGGACTCCATGCTTCGAGTACCTCCTGCACTCAACACCACATTATGGTGCTTTCGTGGCACCACAATGATTGAGAGACAAGGTAAAGGGTCTGCACTCCTAGGTCTAGATTAAAATCTCTTGAAAGGCAATAATATTATATTTATATTTCTGTTGCTTTTAGAATGCTGAACATAATGTCCTACATACGGCAAGAAGTCAACAAATCCTAATGCTTTCTTCCAGCTCCAGCCTCCCAACTCTATCTCATCCACCCCAACAGTGTTCCTACCCTCAGATCCCCCACTTGCCTGGCTCCTGGCTAAGTCCTGGGTCCGAAACTCAGATTTCCAGCTGCATGAACTCCAATATCATTTGCTGAACACTCATCTAGTAGCTGAAGTTATTGCTGTTGCCACCATGAGGTGTCTTCCAGGGCTACACCCTGTCTTTAAGGTACATTGTCTGCCCTCCATATCCCATCTCTCTTCAAACTCCAGAGAGGGGAAAAGACCAAGAGTTGTTTAGGATATAAAAGCTTGACATCCTCACGAGAACAGGAAACAAAGATGCTCTGCACTCAACGAGCACCCCTGTAGTAGTACTGCAGCAAAGCGTCTTTATAGCATTTCGTGAATGAAGGGGAGAAAAGGAAAATAACTGTGTCAAGACCTTGGGCCTTGTCGTTTTATTTTCTAATGTTTAAAATCTTGTATTTTGAAGTAATTACAGATTCACATGGAGTTTTAAAAAGTAAAAGAGAGGTGCCAATAGATGGCATAGTGGTTATGTCTCCAGATTCCCACATGGCCAACCATGGTTTGAGTCTCAGACCCAGTGGCGTGAAACTCATGCTGTGTGTGTGTGTGTGTGTGTGTGCCCAAGATCCCAGGAGGAGAATGGAGGAGAAGAGATTGCTGCGTGGGGTGGGGGTGGGGTGGTTTTTCATTTTCTGTCTCTGTCTCTCCAGTGAGCACATGTGCCCTATAGAAAAAAATCTCTCTTAAAAATATATCAGAGATTAGAAGAACATGTCTGAAAAAGGATTAGAGAGGCTAGTTGGTTTTTGTTTTGTTTTTATATTTTTAGATTTATTTTACTATCTTAATGAACTATATTTAATATTTTATAACTCTTCAGCTTATTACAGTTTTCAGCTGTAAATACAGTAGTAACAGCAATAAATACACTGAGATATGAGATTTCTTTGATGAAAGACTACAACAGATAAGAGCACTTGGAAACAAGAGGACAAAATGTCAATTTTAGTTCTGAAATGGAAATTAATAGTCAAATCCTATTATGACGCTGGTACATGGGAAAAGAACTCATACTCTATAAATGAATGTGCAACTTAGAGCTTCACCTTTCTGGGAAGGTTTTAGGGACATTATTTGATGCACAGATCTCTAAAATCCTATAATAGGTATTGATATCAGTCAAGTAAAATACTGAAAATGATTTCCAAAGCAAAGAAGTACTTGTATTCTTCAACCTTTGCAGTCTTCATGGTATACTATAAAAGAGTACAATCCCTATACAACTGCACAAAATCACAAAAATTGATTTTATAAAGTCTCAAGATTATAATTTACATTCAAAAGTACATATAGCTGTGCTTTAGTAAATGAGTACATCAGTTAATTGAGGGATAGTTTTGCCTTTAAGATATATCCAAAGTTGGGACCAGTAGTTGGCGTAATAGCTATGTGATTGGATTCCCATGTAGTCAACTGATGTTTGAGTCCCGGTCCCAGTGGCTTAAACTCACACCGGGCGCATGTGTGTGCATGCCCAAGATCCCAAGAGGAGAATGGAGGAGAAGGGATTGCAGACTGCGGTGTGGCCATCCCCCCAGGGGATGATTTCTTGCTTTCTGTCTCTCTGTCTCCCCGTCTTTCGGCCAAGTTCACGCGCCTTATAGCAAAAACCTCTCCAAAAAAAGATATATCCAAAGTAGATACAGAGGATCACAAATGTTAACAATTTGTGACAAAAATTATCTAAGTTTCCATTTGAAAAAAAATACTATGTTAATTTTCAATTTAAAAATTTAAGAGAGTTGTGAATATTGTTATCACTTAGGTTAAGAAATAGAAATACTGTTGGGTTAGAAATAGTAGATGGCTTCAGCTTTTTAATGGGAAATTTGTGAACTACTAGAGGCTAGTTTTAACTGGATCTATGTGATAAAGAGGTTACTTTTAAAAATAAGTGATATGGGTATGTTTAGTGCCCTGACGTGATTATTACACATTACATGCATGTAGCATGAGCTATGGTGAGAATAATGGTTTGTTCTCAAGGCGTTCATGTGTTGAAGTTTGATTTCTAATGTAACAGAGGTGGTATAAATATTAAGAGGTCAAGATTAGTGGGTGGTGTTTGATCATGGGGACACCACCGCCATGAATGGATTAGTGGATTAATACTGTTCATAAGAAGGAGTGAGCCACTTTCAACATGAAAGAGAATCTTCCCAGACAAGATTGGCTGTAAGTTAGTGGACTGAGAGGAAGACTCACCTACGGTCTGGGCTGGAACAATCCAATCATCTAGGAGCATGGGAGGGACAAAGAAAGAAAGTAGAGGATTCTGTTTTCTCCCTCTCTCGCCCTCACACACACTCTCTCTCCCCACATACTTCTTGACATACCTGCTTCTCTGTCACATTGTGACATAGCACCAGAGACCAGCCCTGTCATCCTGGACTTTCCATTCACTAGAAGTGAGCCATGTAAACCTCTATTCTTTTTGTTTGTTTGTTTGAGAGACTTTTGCTATAGGGTGCATACATTCACCAGAGAGACAGAAAGTGAGAAATTATACCCCAGGGGGGATGACAACACTGCAATCCCTTCTCTTCCATTCTCCTCTTGGGACTTGGGGCACACATGCACACATACCCAGCATGAGTTTTAAGCCACCAGGTCTGGGACTCAAACCACGGTCGAGCACATGGGAGTTCACCTCCTTAACCATGACACCACCAACTGGCCCCTAAACCTCTATTCTTTATAAATCATCCAGTCTCAGGTATCTTTGTCTAGGGACAGCATATAGTTAAAAATCACCCTGTACCTACCCCACAGATATGTACAACTATTACATGCCAGTTACGAGCTATAAATAAAATCAGGCCAGCCAGTAGTGTGGCAGTTAAGGTGACTGGATTCTACATGGCTAACTGTGCAGTTTGAGTCCTGGATCCAGTCACTTGAAAATGACACCAGGCACATTCATGCCCCAAATCCCAAGAGAAGAATGGAGGAGAAAGGATTGTGGTATGGCCATCCCCCATGAGGGATGATTTCTCACTTTCTCTCTCTCTCTTTCTCTCTCTTTCTCTCTCTCTCTCTCTCTCTGGCAAACACACATGCCCTATAACAAAAACTTTTAAGAAAAAAGAACTATAAATAAAATTGAAAGTCTAGGGACCAATTTTAAAGGACACTTATACTTATGGTATGTGCCAGGCAATGCTCTTAACGTTCTTCATACATCACTCACGTGAGCATCACCACAGCACCTGATAATGTACCCTAGCGTCACCCCATGTTGACAATGAGGTTGACACTTAGATAGTTTATTACCTTGGACAAGTAACAAAGTTAGTGGTAAAGTGTGAACTCAAACTGTGGTCATTCTGGCTCCAAAGCCCAACTCACAAGGAAGTTGAAGAGCAGGAGAGTGAGCAATCAGAAAAACAGGGTAGAACAGCCTGTCAAGGTAGCAGCAGGGAAGAGAGAGTCAAGAGGAGAGAGGGCCACCATGCTGGATGTCGGGTCCTCCAGGGGAAGACCGAGCCTGACGTCCATTAACCACCCCTTCCAATCTCCTCCTCTTAGCTCCTGATCCCCCACATCCACTACACCTTGGAAATCAACATCCGGGCCCGATCCCAGCTTGTCTCATATGGAGGACTATTTGATAAGGTAAGGAGAAAATAGGGGAGGGACTGCTCTATTTAGCTCTCTATGAACTATTAGGTCATCAGAAAAGTCGTGATACATTTTTCCATGTTTTTCTACACAAAACGCATCATGAATTTCCTGATGACCCAACAGTTTCCATTTCTGGATCCAAGACCAACAATATGTGGCTGTCCTGATCCTTAAAACCATCACCCTGACTTTTTATACCCATGCCTTTAAATCTGAAAAGCCCTCCTAAGGCCCCTTTATATTGTAGCTATGATTCTCCAGCCCCATTTCCCTCCCAAAGACCTGTCCCTCTCTTGTCCAGGCAATAGGCACAGGTGGAGGGGGCCATGTGGACCTGCTCCGTCGCGCTGTGGCCCAGCTGACCTACCGCTCCCTCTGTCCTCCTCACGACCTGGCTGACCGGGGCCTGCTGGGAATCCCGAGTGCTCTCTATGCCCACGATGCTCTACGGCTCTGGGAGATCACTGCCCGGTGGGTGAGAGGGCACTGAGGAAGGGAGGGGTGTGGGGAGAGGGAGGGCGGGGCTCTAGCCTGAAGATAGGATAGGGCAAAAGCAAAGTCAAAGTGAGAAGATCCAAGAGGAGGGGAGAAGGCTCAGTCTTGGGGAGAGATGAGGAAGAGTGGGCAGATAGTGGGCAGGTTCTGAAAACAAAGAGGATAGGGTCAGAGAGCCTATGTGGAGAAAGCTATGGGCATGTAAACCATGAGATCTGGTGAACTCAGGGTGGCTAATCGCCATTTATGGGGAATCCTGGGATTATTAGCCACATCTCGTAGTGCTCCAAAAGACAAGTCTTGAAGGATTTCTTTCCAGATACAATGAAAATCAGTGGGGCAGAAGCTAGGGAAGGAGTAGAGATGAGAGTCTGGAGCCTTCTTCCCTCAGAGAGTTCACATCCCTTCTCCTCTGAGCAGATATGTGGACGGGATCATCCACCTCTTCTACCAAATGGATGATGCTGTGAGAGGGGACCCTGAACTGCAGGCCTGGTGTCAGGAGGTCACAGAGGTGGGGCTATGCCAGGCCCAGGACCGAGGTAAGATCCATCCCAAAGACAGAAGATCCTCAGAAACATACTTGAATTTGTACTTTTCTGGAGAATAGGATTTTTATTAAAATAAAACAAACCTAGAGAAAAATTAATGTTATAAATCATAAGATTAGTTGATGAACTTTTAGTAAGGTTACATGCCTATATAATTAGCACTCACATCAGAAAAAAAAAAAAAAAAAAAAAAAAAACTTTCCCATTGGGACCCAGTGTTTAGATAAT